TAATTTTTTTAAATTTTTTTTTTTAAAGAGTCTACTGTTGTTTCAACCCCAACGTTCTTTAAAATAGAATAAAATCATACAGGTTTAATTGGAATGAAATGAGGATGAGTAAATGACTATTTTAATTTGAGTGAACTATCCTTTTAAATGGTCCATGTGCTACTCATGAAGTGTTGCTCAGCCTTCAACCTCACTTAACCCTGTTTGTTACAGTGCCCCACTGACTAATCCTTCCTCCCTACCTGTTAACAATCCATACTCGCCACCTAACAGCCCACCTGGCCGAAGCCATCCATGAGTGTCTCTTCATTCTTCCTGCAGGTTTCAATCAATTCCTCTCCGTGTGCTCCATTTATTTATCTCCCAGTAACACAGACCCCCAGCCTTGAAGGGAAATAAGATGAAAGCTGTGCATAACAAGGCTACAGAGTTGAATTTCGCTTTATTTTCTGCCACTTTTTTTTGCATATTTTGACAAGCGATTAAAACCTCTATTTCACCAGCCTCTAGTCTGCAAGTTTGAGAGGGTAATTATTTTGGGGGGATCTGAAGGCTTCATTTACATAATGAGGGTATTGGAATGTGACTGAACACAGCGGGGTGAGGTAGTGGAGAGGTAGTGATCTCACAGCAGCTTTCCTTATAGCCCCAGAGTGCCAGCTCGAAGCATCTGGTTTCTATGCATGGCTGTACATAGGGCTTGGACCGGCATATTTCCTTGCATTCTGAGGGGCTAAAAATGCTCTTTGTCAGCGATGTTTCAGAACTTCAGTTTTGCTGATCCAGTCGTAGGTAAGTTCAACCGCTTAGTCTCTGGGCTCACGTCTGTCCTCTTCTCACTTGGAGAGCCAGAGATAATGAGCTTTCAAATCATGGGCCAATGCGCAGTGCATGGCCTCTTGGCCAGCGTTCTGAAGGTCCAGCTGGCCACTGTGGAATCGATAGATGCCCTTCAATTAGTAGAGCTGCAGTAAGTGCTGTTTTGAACTTGGAGGTGTTGTTGAAGTCTGCAGCATGAGGACTCATTCAGCCGCTTGACACACTGTGCCAGTTTTTTTGCTTCTGAGACCTCTTAAAGTTGTAACTTTATTTTACCGCTGTTGTAGCAGTCCATTTTTCTGCCACCAGTGGTTAAAAATAATGCACTAGATAGATAAAAGTGCAGTTTTTTTTTCAGTCCATAAATAGTATTATTCATTTACTTCCACTTGTTGGAGAAACAAACTATTACTGTACATGAATGTTTTTTTATAGCATTTACTGTTAATAAATATTCTTTTGTAAATATTCAGCTTATATAATCCAAATACTACTGCTGTTAGATTCTTTATACAAAGGAAGAGCTTTTGACTAAGCAATTTGCCTCTGAAGTTTTTTGATTGTCACTAAGCACTCTTGTTTATCAGCCCCTCTCCTCCAACCATCTGTCATATAAATAATTTTTTTTAACCTTTTCAGTTGCATATCCTGTTTTACTTGGAAATGCTTTACATTATATAAGTAAAATGTGCGAACACGGTACAATGTTGACTTAAATGACAATGTGCATCTTTGATCTGTTAAGCTGTAGGCCCAGTGGGATTTAACCTTGAAGTCTGGTCCTCGTGGAGTTGAACATGTTGGGGCACAAACATGTTGTCTGCCATTTTAAAGTCAGTCCAATTAATCACATTGATTGAGGATCCTTCTTTCTCACGCTCCAGAGCTCAGTATAGGGAGTTGTCATCACCGTGCTGCTTTACAGTCAGTATTTCTGGCTTTGTGTAATTTGGTGTTGATAATGTGGGAGTTGTATTTCTTCTAAAGTTATAGTGCAGGAATTGAAGGAATATTTGATGTATGTTCTTCCAATTTTGTGTAATTCTCACTTGAAGAACCTTACATTTGTGATGTCTGAGCCTAGGAAGTCATATGTTATGTTCTTTTAATGCTTAGCTCTAAAATATTTCATTGACGGGTAGTTGCTTCGGTTGTTTTTAGTGTAGCAGTCAGTTTACATATTTGGCTGAAGCTTATATACAGTATATAAACTAACCCTTAATGATACTAGATAATGGATCTCAGCGTTTTGATGCAAGTGTTCTTTTGTCCAATAGATGGCATCAGAGATTAGGACCACTCTTAGTCTGCTCCTGCAGAGTGGACTGCATACTCCACCATCAGTCACGCCTCTCATCTTTCCTTCTCACCCTGCCACTCTCACCCTGTTCATTATCATTCTTTCTCGTTCGCTGATGCGCTCTTACTCATAGGTTGCCAATTACTTTGACTGGCTCATTTTCGACAGTCTTCTCAGAGGCAGCGAAACCTCTCCTGCCTCCACCCCACCTGTCAGAGCCTTCAAACCAGCATGCGGAATAAAGCAACACACACCCAGGAGGAGTCTGTCTGTGCTTACACTCCCTGCACTTACACTAGATGTCTCCATCAAACTCAGTTTGAGATATTAAGCGAGGGTCGCTAATTTCGGTGACTTGGTTTTGTTTAAAGAAATTTTTTGGTGGGTCTCCGCTTGGCTCACACATGAGCAAAGTTCTCCTCGGGGAACACTATTGTACTGTACAGTAGGGTTGGGTACCGAAACCTGGTGCCAATATGCCAAGCATGGGTGTCACTAGGCCATTTTTAGCGGGGCTATAGCAATTAGCTCCATAAACTGTACACAAATTTGTGATTGCCTCAGAGTCAGTCCCCTTTAAATTTCATATGAAAACGGCGGCAGACTTCGTCTCCTCCCCGTCTTTCAGCGCAATCTTCAATCCGCAGACCGCAGTGGCGCAGCGCGAGCGGACTCAAACAGAAACAGAGGACACAAGGTGTATGTTTATCGATGGATTTTTATAATATCTGTATCTGTGCAGTTCTTTGTCTTAAATACAGTTTACAAAAGGTCACGAGGGAACAATCGGTTTCCCATCTACCAAGTTTTCGCTGCGTTCGTTCACCCCTCATTACACCACAGCCGTTTCCTCCAGCGAAAATCTAACGTTAGCCCTTAACGCATATGAACGCATACTTTATAAAACGATCATGTTGCCATTTTCATTTGAAAATTTAATATTTAATATAAAACATATTACAGTGCATGTGGCATACCATAGTCATTCACAGAACTGATTAACGACAGTGACAGACAGCACTCGTTTCTACTGTACAGTGAGCTTTAAGAGAACATTTGCTGCCGTGCTGTTTCTAGGTCAAAGGAATTGTTGACCCAAAAATGAAAATGGGGTGGAATGATATGGGGGTGAGTAAACAATAACAGTGTTGTTTTCTTCTGTGAAACACAAAAGGAGATCTTAGGCAAAGTGTCTAAGCTTTTCCATATAGCAGAAGAGGATTTATACTGCCAAGCTCTATGAAAGCAGTCCGTATGACTGGTGTGTTTATATTCTAAGTTTTCTGAAGCCATACTGTAGCATTGTGTGAGAAACAAACTGAAGCTTAAGCAGTTTTATAATGATATCTTATATATCTCTTGTTTTCAATTTAAAATATGACTTTTATGCTATATCACTACACTATTGGCAAATGGACCTTTTTTGTCTGTAATATTTTGCTGAAATGTAACTGGCCAGAGTTACAGCAGTAGAGAAGAAATCAGTCAATTAAGACTCAATTTCATAGTGTTTCTTAAATGCATCATATGGCTTCAGAGGACTTCATTATATTAAAAAGAGCTGCTTGAATAGCTGCCTAACATTTATTGCTATTCACATTGTGAATAAATTACAATTTTTATTTTTGTCTGAATTATTCCTTTGATTATCTTAAGCTATTATGACATGCATTGTATACTAACATTGGTTCTAATCAGCAAGTTAAAAGGGATACTTCACCCAAAAAAATGAAAATTCTGTCATTAATTACTCGCCTTCATGTCATTCCAAACCCGTAAGACCTTCATTCATCTTCGGGACACAAATTAAAATATTTTTGATGAAATCTGGGAGCTGAGATGATTCTGTCCCTCCATAGACAGCAAGTGAACTACCTCGGTCAAGGCCCAGAAAGGTAGTAAAGGACATCGATAAAATAGTCCATGTGACATCAGTGGTTCAACCGTAATGTTATGAAGCTACAATAATACTTTGTGCGCAAAGAAAACAAAAATAGCGACTTCATTCAACAATTTAATCTCTTCTGTGTCAGTCTCTGCTGCGCGTTCAGGAGATTACCATGATGTGTGAACCACTGATGTCGCATGGACTATTTTAATGATGTCCTTACTATCTTGCGGTCTCTGCAGGGTCAGAAAGAGGGTGAGTAATGACAGAATTTTTATTTTTGGGTGAACTAACCCATTAACAATCTACATCTCTTAGTTTAAGGACCTAGTTATACTATATTGACAATTTGTTCAAATATAGTTTATTTACACATCATTTTTTAAAACCGCAATCATTTTACAAAGCTACAGAGAAACGGCACTCAACCAAGACTTATTAATAACATCCCTTCATAGATTCTTAATTTTCTTGCCTCTCTTACTATTCCTGTCAAAAGTATTTCATGTCCTGTGACAGTCCGTTCAGTGCTCAATCTCGCTGCTTTCCTCTTGTTGTCTGCTCTGCTCAGTTCAGACACGCTGCACTGAGCGCCAGCCTGTCACTCCACTGCTCTAAAGCACATGCCATTTCCAATTTGCTCCTCCGGTGTTCATTCTGCCTTCCTCGATGGCATCGCCCGTCATCCATACATTCAGGCTCAGTCAGCCAATTACCGCACACCATCAGGTCTTGGCCATGTGAAGCGTTTGTTTTATTCCGCGGTATTGTTTATTTTTATGACTCATTCGCAAGATTCACAATCAGTTTCTTGCTTTATTCCAGCATAGTATCACTTCACGTCACTCGTATGAATACGCTTGCCTTTTCTGAATATCCACGTTTCATTGAATTGTGCTGGAAATGCTGGGGACAAAAAAAAAACAAAACATTTTTTAATCAGAAGTAGGCTGAACCTTTTTGCAACGCACAACTAGCACTATATTTAGGAAGTTATTTTGGGAAGTACGTAAGTGCGGTGATATAACAAAGCAGCTGAAAACGTAAGGTAGATGCCGTGCTTTAGAATTAAACCCATTTTTCACGTGGCAAACACAGCACAAGCAGCCAGGGCCACACGCTTATCTATTAACGTGGATATTTTCAATTAGTCGTGCCACCCAGAACAAGCCCTGAACCCTTGTATTTACCGATCCACCCCGTCCTACCCCTCTGGTAACCAGGCCTACGGTCTCTAGATTGTAATGCGGTATCGATTCTTCAGAAACACTGCTTCATCCTGAGTGAGCTTTGTTGTTTTTTTATTCTCTCTCTCCAACCTCTGTCTTCCCAGCCACTCCGGAGCGTGAGTGAAAATGGGTTTCTGATTTCACCATTGCAGCCCTGACCCCATCTCCCTGAACCATTCCTACACTGTTGATTCGTTTCACAAGTAGCCCCCAGCGTCTCTGTGGCCACCGCTGCTGTTTTTCTCTAGCTCTCTCTCTGTCTCTGTAAATCTAGTTAAGATATCAGCTACTTATCTGCCTGAACAGGTGAGCTATTGCCTTGTATGCAGAGATGAGCAGATGTCTGACTGATTTATTTTTTGATGATTGACAGCATTAGAGGCTGACCATTTTTTTGTGTGTATTTGTTAACAGGTATGATAAGGAAGGACATGCTATGGATGGACAGTCGATGACTGAGTTGAGAGGACCTGGTGGTGGTGGTGGAAACACAAACTGGAAGACCCTGGCGGAAGTCAAGAATGAGCACTTGGGACATGGAGACAAAGTATGTCATCCACACATTAAGATTGGCCTCAAATTTAAAAAAAAAATCTTTTTTTATGAGAAGAGAATACACTAGAATAAACTTCCAAACAATTACGTAATTACATTTTTTTTAAATTTACATTTATTTATATAATATTTACATAAAATTAAGTTTAAATCTCAAATTTGTATTTTATAAATAAATATTTTTACAGGGGTGTCATCATGAGGAATACATTTTTCTGGTCTAAAAAGACCATCTTTTCAATTGGCTCATTCTAAAATAGCAGAATTTCTAACATTAGAAACCTAAAGCACCTGACTGCCCACATTTACACATTAACAGTAATCATTATAATGTAGAATATAGCAAATTTCTGTACATATAGCGAAACTGCAGCAATGAATGGCCTGTTTAATTCTAAGGGTCACAGAGAGGGTGGAAAATGGCCATATCAAAATGACTCGTTTTGGTGCAAAAAAAAAAATACTTTTTAGGAATTCCTTGTCTTGTGGAGCATCACTTTATTAGGGTGTGCCATTGTCTGTTCATCTGATTAGTTTTAATCAGTCGGTCCTGTTAGGCCTGTCACGATAACAACTTTTTGTTGTGCGATATTGTCCCAGAAATAATTGCGATAAGCGATATTATTGTAATTTTAAAGACCCTGTGTGACACGTGTTCTGAAACAAAAGACACAGGGATGCAGTCATTTAGCTACACTGTTACTTTTCTCTCTGCTCATTAATCACTCAATGTAATGCCCTTCCCATCTTCCCCAAGGTGTGTGCTTAAAGGGGTCATATGATGCGATTTCAATTTTTCCTTTCTCTTTGGAGTGTTACAAGCTCTTGGTGCATAAAGAAGATCTGTAAAGTTGCAAAGACTAAAGTCTCAAATCCAAAGAGATATTCTTTATAAAAGTTAAGAGTTAACCACGCCTACCTAAAATGGCTCGTTCTAACACGCGATAATGTGTTTTTTTAACTTTAAACCGCATAAACACATTTCATTACACCAAATACACAAAATAATGTTCTTTTTAGCAGCATCATTTGACCCCTTTAAGCATTACTTACATTCAGCACTGGAGATAGAGAATGGAGATTAACAGGACTCCATTTACTAAGCCTAATAATTAAGAGATTATACTGCAGATAAGCTGCATAATAAATCTGACCTTGTCTACTGTCTATTTTTAGTTTTTCTGGCGTATATGTAGGAGTAGGGTTGTCATGATACCTGTGTTTTAATAGTTGATACCAGTACCAGAGATTATATTGTATTAATTGGCAATTATAGATAACAATTTCAATACCACAGCAAAAGAATTTAAATATTAACAAAGTATGGCATGTGGCCTTCAAGTATTTCTAAATTAAATTAGCATATTGTTATAAATATTAAGTATATACTTATTTTTATTTTTTGTAATTGTATTTATTTTTTAAATACATTTTATTTATTTACTTAATATTCTTGTTGGTTGTAGAGGATTTATTAAAGGAAGGTTATTGTTGGGTTAATATCATTGACATTAACCTTTGAGATTATTGGTGTGTTTACACATTGTCGTATATTTTTCCTATTTTTCTATGGCGATTGCCATATTGGCACCATTGTTTTTCAAGGGTCTATATTTTTTTATAGCTGAGAACATGAGTTAAGCATAATAGCCTGTTTTTTTTTTTTTTTTAAAGTCATGAACAATACATGATGATCTTTTTTCGGGTGGCAAAATTAAAGAGGGATGTCCAGAAAAGAGAGAGAAATTACAAGCTTACCAGGTGTAGCACAACAATGAAAAAGAGAGGGGCTGCAGAATGAAGCCACAATAACAGATGAGTATGTGAAAAATGGGAAGCCTGTTTTCACATAAGTTAGAAATCAATTATTAAAGCAGAGAGAAAACAAGACTTTTTTTTTTTCTCAGCATTATAAATTTCTGAAATATGTGATTTAGACACTGGGTGTTGCGTGATACTGCTGTTGAACACTGCATCATCAGTCAAGTGTGGTTGCAAACCAAAATAGCAGCATGTAAGACTCACACCATAGTATAATAGAGGAAGCATGTAGAATGAAATGGAATCTCACAATCTGGTTGGGGCTTAACAACCCAGACTTTGCCTTCAGTTGATCATGTACATTGGTAAATAAGCTGTCTATAAGTTGAGTTATTGTCCAGAATGCTACTGAAGTAGCGCATTGGTGGTGTTACACTGGGAAAATTATTGAAGCCTGACTGTAGGTGTTAGGGGTACTTGTGAAAAAAGTTACTATTATTTCTAATACCTGGCCCCTAATGGACCACTGGCAAGAATGTTAGCCCCATCAGAGTTTATTCTCTGTGACGAAGTTTACTCATGCCCTCACCCTGATCTCATCCTATCTGCTCTATTGGGACACAAGGTTAGGCTGCTAAAAGCTCACAGCCAGTTGTATTTAATTAACGACACTACTCGCAAAAAATGTTTGTGTCCTAGTTTTCTGTCCCATGTTACCAGAATGAAATGTCTTGTCAAAGTTATTGGAAGGGAATTTTAAAATTGATTTCCAGGCCTGGAGAAGTAAGGGATATTTCTGTAGTGAATGTAGATTTTTTTTTCTTTCTTTCTTTCTTTTGTTAAATTCTTTTTTAAAAGATTTAATCAACAAGGAATTGTGCTTTTGGAAATCTTTAAAAAAAATAATGTTTTGAAAATTCTTATCTGGTATGAAAAGCTGAAATCATTCATGTTTGATTGAGTGAGTGATACTTTAATAACATCTGCATTTTATCTGTCTGTGCTAATAGAATGAAATAAATGACTTTACTCTATCTTGTAATGTACCGCTGTGAGAAATGCGACAAAGAGTTCCCCGACTTCAAATATCGTCTCATGCTCTCGGTAAGGGACTTGCCCTTGGCTCTCCTGCCCCTTCTGAAATAACACACCAAACTCCTCAAATAACTCCTCCTAAATATCTCTGCCATCCCCTTTTATGCTTTCTGAAAATAGTCATTTCTGAAATGACTTGGTAACGGAGTTAGTTGCTGTTTTCTTGCTCTAAAAGCATCGTTCATCTGAGGCCACTCTGTTTTGCTGGTTATCAGCTCAGACTGTGTTTTGTTAATTGCCCCTTTTTGTATTTAAAGCTGCATCTCGAATTCCAGGACAGGATAGAAATGGGCAAATAAATCTTGCTGCTGGTCTGCAGCCAAAGATGTTGTAAAAATAGAAACTTTAAAATGTTTAGACTCCATTTGACTCCAGACAGGTAGAAATAAGTCAATTTCTCTTGTTTTTCATCCCATCTACAGAGCACATCGCTGTTTTTAACACTGGATCTGATATGCATGGCCTCTCATTTTTCAGATCTTTACCACCAAAATTTTCTATTCAGTCTGGCCTGTATCCGTTGGACGTGACTTCTAGCCAACTAGGAGTGAAGTAATTGTGCTTTTTATTGTGCTTTCATTCTTGCAGGCCAACATTGCTGATTTTGGAGACAACCAATGGGTGATTTGCTTTCAGGACAGTGCCGAAACCCTCCTGGGCCAAAACTCAGGTTATCTCGGCCAACTCAAGGACTCGGTGAGTTTCTTCTTCCAGTCATCTTCTCACTTTTTTTCTAAGCTTTCCATCCGTGTGCTACATGAAAGTGTGGCCTCAAGGATTGGCCAGCGTATTACAAAGATGTTTTGAGAAGCAGCACATTGTGTATGAATTTGATTTTTTTTCTGTGGTGTGTTTATGAAATAGGCTTAAGCCCAAGGATTTTTAACAAGGTCTTACTCCAAGAGACTGATTCAATCTCTCATGGAGTGTTCTTTTACAATGTGTTGTTTGTAGTCCTCTTATGTTATTGTCTTGCCTTGCTTTTACAGAACGAACCTGCATTTGATGAGGTCTTTCAGCATGCAAACTTCAATACTTTTGTCTTCCGGAACCGAGTGAAGCTGGAGACCTACAATGTAAGTTTATCAGAAAATATCTCCGGGGCCCTTCTGCATGTGGTCCATGGTGGTACAGCAGGTTGGCTGCCAATTACAGTTTGATCTCACACTAATTTATGAAAAATTATATTGTATTTAAAAAAAATGACTTAGAATGCATAAGGTTGACTTTAGCCAAAGTTCAGCTGAATGTTTGGGGTCAACAAGATGTTTGTCGTTTAAGAAGTTAATACTTTTATCCAGAAAAGATGCATTGAATTGATCAGAAGTGGCAGTAAATGCTGTTACAAATGTTTTTATTTTTTTATTTATTTTTTTCTATTGAGAGTCTTAAAGTTTTTCTTGAGCAGAAAATCGGCATATTAGATTGATTTCTGAAGGATCATGTCACATTAAAAACTGCTGAAAATTAAGCTTCATCACAGGAATAAATTACATTTTAAAATATAGTCTTGATAGAAAACAGTAATGTTGTGAAATTCTAATTTAAAATAATTTGTATTTCTAGTCAATAAATGCAGCATTGATGCTCATAATATACTTTTTTAACTTTCAAAGAGTAATGTACATAAATGCATAGTGCTGGGCGGTATACCGGTTCATACCGAATACCGGTGTTTATTTTTGTTATGATATACATTTTTTAAATACCACAATACCGGTGTGTCGCTTAAACAACGTTTAACAACGACACTGTTTGAAAGGGGTCCCTTTTCACTGTTGCACTGTCGTGAGGGAACAGTTGTATGTGTTACTAAGCGTGAAAGTTCCGAAACTGAAGCTGTAGAACTAATAGAACGTGATGACACAGAAGAACTCATCCACAATATCCACATTGACCGCCACAAATATCCACCGCCCCCTGCCATCAGCTCCCGCGTCTCACACACACGAGCGCGACTTTAGCACTAGATTTAGCAACTTCCAGACCATTTTAGCGGCTTTTTTTACTCTACAAAAAATTTTACATTTTTTTTTTTTTAAATCTAAACATTTAGATAAAAACATTTAGTAGGATAAAAGCAAATAGGTGTGATCTGGTAAAATGTCACATTGCCCTTTGTATTGTAATATACATTCATGAAAAACAAGTAAATATAATTATATATAAATATATGCAATAAATTAAATACATTTCTTTTACATTTATAGGCAGCAACATGGATAACACAGAACAAGAAAAGCTATTAACAATCTTTCATTGCGCAAAAGTATTATAACATGAAAGGCTCCAATACAGAGCGGCATAGTTTGAGCCTTATTCTTTTAACAGTTTTAAATTTCAGTTCCTTTGCACGTGAAGAACAATTCATAGTGCTCTCTACTCCAGTGAAGTGATCACTAACAGACACCCGGTAGAAAGTAACGTTAGACAAGCTACTTATGTAAAGTAAGTTAGAATTAGCACTAAACTCCAGTAAGGTAGTCTTTTTATGCAAAACCGCCGATGTTTATCTGCATATCAAGTATAATAATAGGAACATTGTATCATCCTAGAGAGAGTTTCTTAAACTATGGAACGGGCTCAGAACACGTGAAATATAGTGCACGGAAACTTTATGGTGCTTTATAATGTTTTTGTGCCTTTCGTAGGGCTTAACAATAACACAGAATATAGCATACGCAGAATATCGGAATTGGATCGGTCTCATCTGACCGATACCCCGATCCAGCAGAAAGTGGCAGTATCGGAGCGATATCGATACTGAATATCGGATCGGCGCACCCCTACACATTATTATAGACTAGGTGTAAAATGTAACACGTTTTATTCATATTGTAACAAACTACTCCATCTCTCTCCACCAAAGGGGTCTTTGGCTTGAAAAATGTTGAAGACCCCTTTCTCTTTTTTTTTTTTGTTACTTAGCCAAAATATTTTGCTGAAATTGCTTCCAAAATATGGATGAAGGAATCTTTTTCGAAGTGTATATCACGATGTTTTTTGCACCTTTTGATGTGGTGATTGAGATTTATGGAAATTGACACAGCATCTCTGCCGCCCCGTCCATCACAGCGCTGCTGATGAAAATTGCTCTGCGCCTTGTTCTTTCTCCGCATGACATGCTACATGAGAGCCGTGTGAGAACCACGTTGACAGATTAGCTGTGAATATTGAGGATGTTGGTGGTGTTTCTGTGAACCTGAAGCCAAGAACACTACCTACTCCATTTGCCTTCCTCGAACACACCTGCTCACAAATGTAATGCAAAGAGCAACATCTCAGCATTTTCTTTTATCACCTTTCTTCTTATCAAAGTTGAGATTCATGTTACTTCTCTAAATTCAAATGAACTTGAATTTGACTCCATTTCATATTAGCTACATATAATTTATAGCTTTAAATTGGCTAGCTTATTTCTTTAATCGAGTTAGGCATATAGCAGTGCTGCAGTCGGTCTCTGTGTAATGCGATTTATTATTCTGCAGGGAAATTAGTATGCATCTAAAATGCTGTATCAGTATCCGAATTCCCAGCCATCATATTGCTGGAGATCGTTAAATTATATGTTCAGATAATGAAATCAGAATACAAGCCAAGGCCACAGTCAGCACTGGGGAAGGTCACCTTTAACTTGGGTGTATGAAAATATGGATCTTCGCAGGGTTAGTTTCTCCAGGTATAGACGTGAAGAGGACAAGTTAGGAGTAAACTGTCCTCCGTTTTATTCAGTTTACCAAATGTGACCTGTACTTAAAGATCAGGCTAAATGGAAGCCATTTCTTACTATAAAGTCAAGTCATGATTGAATAAATACAATCAGGATTTGCCTATCCATAAAAAAAAAAAACTAAAATGTGAGGGAATTTTTAAATTGATTTACAAACCTGGAAAATTATTTAAAAATATAAAATCCTGAAAGTAATGGGAATTTTAGCTGTATTCATTAGTTGGAAATGTGGGGCAGATGATTAACAATTGTTATAATGATTTTTTTTTTGGAAATCCGGAAAATCAAAGGTATTGGGAACCCTGTAGAATAAATGTATGTAGAAAGCACATAATTGGAACATGTGTTTTGATAATTACTATTATTATTTAGAATAACCCAGATGTCAGAACAGATTTATGTGTACAGAAGTTGTGAATCCCACGGGTGTGTGAAACTTTTCTGCACGCATCACACTTTATGCAATTAGTGAATGAGACCAGTGAACCCAAAAGTAGTATTTAGATGTTTTCCTGCCACTTAAGATCAAAACTATCACATTTCTTTCCTTTTGGTTCCAGTTTGAAATTGTTTCTCTGCAGATGATCTAATTGTAACTGAGACGTAAGCAAGCTGCAGTAAGATGAAGTTAATAGAAAGCTGTCTTGTTTCATAGTCATTAAATGTTAGCCAAATAGTATGCACTAATTTGTTTGCTATTAGATTGCTGTTTATCTTTTTCAGTACTGCTCTGTCTGTTTGTTAAAATATCTACAGGCTGTTTGGTGATGATTTTTTGGAGGCTTTTGAATATGTGATAGAACAGCATTTGTCATAAACCATTACAGGCAATGAACTTTTGCTTTGCTCAAACTTGCTAAACTCAAGGATTTGCAGATACGACCAGTGTTCATCTCTGAGAAATATATGGTCAGTGGTTTGAGGCTGAGGTGTACAACACAGTCCAGTGCTCGGAGAGCAAAACTCAAGGATTTGCAGATACGACCAGTGTTCATCTCTGAGAAATATATGGTCAGTGGTTTGAGGCTGAGGTGTATTTGGTTTGTTAGGTTTGATGCCATCAAGGACTCAAAAGGAAGATTAAATCTGCAAATGACTAATACAAGATTGCTGAAATTTGGTGGAGGATTGTGTGTTTTGCCCATGATCTGCATTAGTGCTGCGTTTGATACATCGATATGACGATGTATCGTCACAGAGATTTAATGATACGAGTATCGATACAGCTGGCCCTGTTTCGATATTGTGGCACATGTGCAGCAGTGGACCACACTTAATTTGAATACAAAAGTATTATAAAGTGCAAGGTTTCTAAAAAATAATGAATAGAGCATAATATATGAGATGCAACAAGATTTAATCTGGCCGCAGAGGAACACAACCGGGGTTGCCTGATATAAAGAGACGTAATCCCTGAAACAGAGCTGCACACTTGCGCAATAAGGAAATATCTGCTAAGTGTGTTATTTATCTTTGTCAACCTGGCAACCATGTGCACGCGCTCTCTCTCCACTGTGGATAAACACGCTTGCTTTCTGAAAACACCAGTAAGCTTGCAGTTTAGGGATCTCCACTTCAATATTCTATTTTCAGAAAAGTGTAATTCATCAAGTGTTCATTTACGAGAGAGAGAAGAGAAGCTGTGTATGAATTACCACCGTTTTGCTGCGTTTCTCTATTAACAGTGAAGCTGTGGTTTTAATTCCTTTAGAAACGATGTTACCAGCTCCGTGTTGAGAAAGATAATGTAGCTCTTGAGCGATTAAGCTATTTTATTGATAAAATTCCGTGGCAGCGCTGAAAAGTTTGTTGCTGAATGTGTGCGCACGCACACATAAATGTAGAGAGTGTGTTAATTTGTGCAATGATAACCTACCAGCAATGTTAAGATGATTTTTTTTTTTATATATATATATATATATATTAGTAAGAGTACCTTACAATATAAATTTATTAAAATTAGTACATTGTTTATGGGCTTAAAAACAACATTCAAACAATCAGAATATTGTACCTGGGTATGGAGTGACCAATGTAAACATGAAACATATGCCATTACCTATATTGTACTGTGGTACAGTTATGGAGGCCCTTCATAATGCAGGTCAACTGCCTGCTCTGCCAATAGTTAGCAATGGCCCTATAGTATGCAGTGTTTAATAAACAGCTGTTTTACTAATTTCTGCTGAGGTGAAATTCAGTGCAGTCCTGTATCGTGATACGTATCGTACCATGACTTTGCTGGTGATACACAGCCCTAATCTGCATGCATCTTTAAAGATTGTGCTACACCTAGTTCTGCAATGCCAAAACAACATAAAATCTTCAAAATGCTGCTTATGCAGTTTAATTTGATTGTTTTTGTATCCTGTGGGTCTTAATGGGAATGATTTTATTAAATCTTATTAATGTATGGCAGATTTACATTTAATCTGCCCTTGGTCTCTGAGGCAATATCACATTAAAAGATGTTTAATGCCTGCAGTTGTGGCTAAATAGGTTTTTAGGTTAAACTAATGGTGTTAGGAGTTTCCACAAGGGTCATTAGAAAATACTCATCATTTTTCCAAAATTGTGAGTGTAGTCTATTTACAGGTTATTCTAAGCTTGTGCCTCTTCACCACCTTTTTTCCCTCCCAAGATCATTCCTTGTTTATACGTGCGTCATGATTATAACTCAAAATAATTGCTGCTGATTTGTGCTTAAAAATAGGAACAGTTCATATTCAAACTAAAAATATTCATTCCCTTAGGAGACCTTACAACTACTTTTGGATGAGGATGAGTTGGAACATTTGGGGACATGGATGCTAATCCTTTTTGTTTTGCCTTCATAGGACGAATCGCGCATTAAAGTGACAGTAGTGGACGCCAAGCCAGTGGACCACAGAGAATACAGCAAACGGCTGATCATCAACATAAGGAAGTTGGCTGCACAGTAGAAGAACTGACAGTGTTACACAGAACAAAACCCAACAAAGCCATTGTGTGGAACTTTTGAGTTACTTATGGTATTGTGCGTACTAATTGTATAGCATCTCTGAATTCTTTTTTCCCCCATTTTGTATTTCAGTCAGTAAATTTCACAATAGCTTTTTCAAAAACTCCAAGATCAGATTAGCTTGTGCTGTTGTCCCCAGGGTTGACTGATTGGAAAGGGCCTGAAGTTCTTTAGAAATTGATGACGTGTTTTGTGAAGTGAAGATTGTAGAAGAGACGAATTGAGAAAGAAATGGACTTGGAGTTTGGAGAATTATAAATCAGTGCACATTCAGGAGTCTGCTGCTGTGATTTAGGTCGGCTTGAGAAAAGTACAACCCCTGTCTCTGTAAGAATGCCTGGACCAAACCTGCAGAACATTGATAAACCTATTCACACTCTTGCTTACCAGGCACACACTGTATTTATATAGATAGAACAGTATGTCTCTTATACAAATAATAAAGCAGTTTGTGTTCTCGAGTCTGTTTGTGGTTTTATTTTTTTGGTTCTGTTTTTTCTGATTCATAAGTATTAACAAACACCATGTTATATGCACCATAAGTAGTGCCTTTTGCTGTAAAATGCTCACTTTTAATAATAAATTGCCTGGATATTGTGAATAAATTAAGTACTAAACATTCTCATTTAAGATCCTATCAATATTTACATTTTTTTTTTTTTAAACTTGGTGTTCCACCAGTGTTCAGTGTCACGTTTATAACGATTACTACAACAATTTGTTTATTATTATACATTATGTATGGGGTTAAATGTAAATTACATAACCAAGTGTTTTACCTGAATCAAAGACATGATTTAATTTGGAATATTAGAATATCAGATTATAAAAAAAAAAAAAAGAAACATGACATTCTGTAAAATACTGTACTGTGCTGCTTACTGGGGTCCAATTACTTTTAGTAAACCATAAAAAAAAGCTAAAAGAAAATCCCATAGGCACTTTCCACTAAATAAAGGACAGGCATATTAAGGAACTAGAGGATGGACTCTTAATTGGACCAACCATTCGCACAAGTAACCTCATTGCAAGCCCTGTATGTAGGGTTGCCACCCGTCCTTTAAAATACGGAATCGTCCCATATTTAAAGGTTGTCGTGAATGGGTATCCCTTATTTTGGCTCGCTGAAGGTGGCAACCCTACCTGTATGGGTAAGTACTAGTCAAAAATATTTAAAAATCCCTTTTTAAGCGTTTTCTCCTATTGTTTCATTTGAAGTGTATCGTTTAAGATGCAGACCTTCTATATAACACCACCTTATAAAGTGTTTACTTCTGAGTTTGGCCACTATTCACCTGGACTGTGTAAGTTCTATTTGAAGATTGTGTGTCTTGGCGAATCTCTTGAAGTCTGGTTCTCTGGGCTTTCAGAGGGGAGCAGCAGTGAGACTGTTGTTGTTCTTCTCTCCCATTACGTCTGCCGAATACTAAAAGACATCTCTATAAAGGCCCCAGTCCCCTTAAAACTGTTTGTTTCAGCCCGCTGTCTGATAATAGCCTACTCTGGTGAAATCCCCCAGCAGCAAACACACAACACGACATAAACACCGTTCTAGCGCACTGTTCACATCAGAGGTGCTTTGTTGTGCGTGAAGGCCAAACAGCCTGTTTTCCTTTTATCCTTTTCTTCTTTCTTCGTCATCCCACCTTGGCACATCCTTCATTTCTTCCTTCCAGGCTGCTGTGAATTGTAGTTTTGAGTGGCATTATTCCTAAGGTCTAGTCCAGTTGATGAATCTGATCGTGCTTAGCGCGAGGTGAAGCACTGGAACGTCATGGTGATTCGCGCTGATAAAATCAGAGACATGAGTAAAAAAACGTCATAAAAATGCTTCTATAGCGTCATTTGCTGGTTCATATGAATACGCCGTAGTCTTCGTGAGGAATAGCGACATAATGAGCGGTATGTATTTTGTTTAAGCCTCAGGGCAAGTCCAGACTTGGGATGGAGGCGGCCGTGCACGGTGCAAGTTTGTGCCCCTGGCTATTTTAAGAACAACATTAAAATATGGTTTAATTTTTCTTTTTTATTTGATATTGACCTCACTTTAGTGAATATTTCCGTCTGAGGTGCTGTGCATTTGGTTCAAATCTAATACTGGTAGGCCTACAGTAACTAACTTTTTGCCACACCTGCCAATGGCCGGTGACATGATAAAATTAGGCCAATTTTTTTTTTTTACCGGCCATGAAACTCTTTTTGCAAAAACAGGCAGTTATTACTACAACAATAATAACTAAACATATTGTTAGATCACGGGCCTGTACCATGATGGTGGCTGAACAAACTCAGGGTTACAGGATTAGTTTTGAGTTGACAAAACCAAACCACTCCAATCCGGCTTTGTTGGTACCATGACGCTGATCATCAACTTTCTCTGTCAACTTAGGCTTGATCCTGAGTTAAATATTTTTTTTTTTAGCTTTATTTTTTTTTATTTTATTTTTTTTATTAATGCTCAATAACATAAGAACATTGTCAAGGAATTACATACAAATACATATAATAAAACAAAAATATTATACAAAAAAACCCCAAAAAAAACAATGAAAAACAAAAGATGACAAGACAAGGAGACACAATAATGCATACATTACCACTATTGAAACAATAACATACAAACATTAATATACAGGGAAAGCTTTTAAATACATGTATTTTCTTTAAACATTTCTTCATAATATTTTATAAATCTTTGGGATTTTTTGTTATTTATATAACTAGGAGATTTAAGAAGTGATATTAATTCAGTTTTAAAATGGGGATATGATGGAATCTGCCATATAAAATAAAGAAGTTAACAATATACTCTAGGGGTCTATTTTTATCATCGATATAATAAAAAATAATGTCTTTTAGACTGAAAGAATAAGTAACATTGGCCGAATCGAATATATAGGAGCCAAGGTCAGACCAAAATTGCTTGGATATTGGGCAATCATAAAACAAATGTGCAAATGTCTCTTCTGACTGCTTACAAAAAGCACATGAACTGTCAATGTCCAGATATTTAGAAATATTAGAGTTTACAGGATATATTTTATGTAAAATTTTGAAATGTATTTCTTTAGCTTTATTGGAAATACAGTATTTCCCAGGTAAAAGCCAGGCCCTTCTCCAATCTATATCTTCTACCAAAGATCTCCAATAGAACTTTCCTCTTGGAGAAATTTTTTTCTTGAATTGAAAGATTTGGCGTAGATGTCTATTGGTACATTTCTTGTCTAAAAAATCAATTCCATCCAAGAACAAAGTAGATTGTATTGTGACTGTTCTTCTTTGATTATATAGGGAGTGGCTTTTAACAAGATGAATTAACCCAGGTGAGATTGCTTTAACCACTGTATTAAACTCTTTTGGAGGAATCGGGAAATTGTGGTAAGTCATAAATTGCTCATAAGTAAAAAGGTTACCAGAGTCATCAAATAAGGAGAGGATACCGTTAATATTATTTTGGAACCACCTGGGGAAAAATAAAGATTTATTTCTGACAGTGATATCACTGTTATTCCATAACAGTGTTTTATGAGGTGAAAAACTATGAACGAGATTTGAGGAAAAATAATCTTATTAGAGGAATGAGAGTTAAACCCATAGATGTTGCATAAAATGAAAAAAGTGTTGTCTTGCTTAATAACTGTTGTAATCCACCTACCATCATTTGATTCCACCACTTTTAGAATATGCCCTTTAAATTTGTGTATGAGAGTCATGACCCCTGCAGAATGGCTACTGCCATGACTGGAAAAATCGTATTTCCCCATTGTGACTTCCAAAATTTTAGATCTACATCTTCAGAGTGAGTTTCTTGTAGAAAAATAAAATCTGCATCACTTCTCTTACAAAATAAAAAAATTGCTTTCCTTTTAACTATATCACGTAATCCCTTGACATTTAGAGACAGAACAGACAAAGACCTAAACGTATAATCCATTAGAACAAATAAACATGAACAACCTGGAAACTGAAAAGAATTTTTTTTTTTAAAATTCACAACAGATAAGAAAACCCCCAAGTATTAAGAAACACTTAATACAAACAACAAGGGAGAGGTGGCTAACAACTTATCGAACATCTTAAAACACCATGCAAATACAGCACATTATACCTGATTAACAAACAAAGAAATAAAGTGCCATGTAAAGATACACATCCAAGTTAACTTTATCAATAATAATAAGAAGACGAAGAAGAGGAAAAAGAAAATAAATAGCCTAAATAAATGAAAAGATAAAGAATAGAAATAATAATAATAATAAACAAAAGTAAAGGTAAATAAAAATAAATGAATAAATAAATATCAAAAAAGTAAGCAAGACTATTAGGTAGACAATCTAATAAAAGGTCAACGTTAAGTCAACGTTGTGTGACTATAAAACTACTGCATTTCTTATTAATCAAGAATTATTCCTCGAAGAACAAAGTCAACACTACTTTACATCCGAAAAGAAGTGCTTCTTTCCATCAATTAACGCGAACGAGGAGCGGAAGGAAGCCTTCTTACCCGCATCCCTTGCTGCTTTAACTAGAGGCCAGAGTTTCTCCCTCGCTGCCCTGTCTTCTGGAGATAGGGGTTCTGTAAGACGCAGGCCGTTGTCTTCCAGATACTTGCATCTTCTTGCAGCCCGCCAGATGCCATCTCGCACACGGCGGAAGGAGAACAGGACGATGATAGCTCTTGCCTTTCCATCATCCCAGTCGGTGAGCTATATCCACGCCGTCATTTAATCTGTCGCGAATATCTGGCGCCATTTTTCCGAAGACTACCACACTCCTGACATCCTCCCCTGCTCTTTCTTTGACCCCGTGCAATTTAAGCAACCACCTCCAGCTATAACGTTTGCATTCATACAGACCGGCCCTCAGGGATTTATTTTCCTCTTTCAAAGTTTTTATCTCACCATCAAGGCATTTCAATGCTTCGCTGTGTTTCCTACATCCAGTACCAGCTGATGAACCGTCGAGGAGAGACTTTCAAGCAGTTTCGAAGTAGAATCGGTTGTCATTTCAATTGTCGCAATTTTTTAAAAAGTCTCATCATGTTTTGCAGAAAGTTCTCGTATTGCAGATAGTATACTCGCATTTCCGTCGCTTCCTTCTGGCCATCTTTCCTCTTGACGTTTGTGTTTTTTGGCTAACGGTTTCACAGGGGTATCAGGAAAAGGAGTACCACGAGCCCTTTCATCAAAGACTGGCGTCGAATCATGCACCTCTACTTCACCGTCAGTCGTCACGTCCATGATTTTAAGGTTAGTAGTGCTGAGTTCTGAGCGTTCACTTTTGTTCGCGTCGGAAACACAGTTCGGAATTACATTAAAGATTTGCTTTCCTTTCTTTCTTCTTTTAGATTTACCCATATAAAATAAATTTCACCGATACACTGTAAAAAATAAGAGTAATTTTAACTGTAAAATTTTGTAAAAACGCTACGGAAAAAAACTGTTAATAGGTTAACAGTAAGTTCCCGTACT